GCCCCCCGCCATAGCCCGGCCATATTTAATGCGGCAGCAGCTGCGCTGCTTAAGGGTCCCAGGGAGGCAGCCATGGGCTGGATGCGGCCTGCTTGGCAGCCTCTTGCCCACTCCTGGCTTAGATGGAACAGTGCCCATAGTTACAAACATGTCAGATGGTTTGATGGTGGTTTGAAAATCAGTGTTACATAATTATCTGGAAAAGTGTCCGTTGTCCAAATAAGTCTGTTGCTACCTCTGCAACAAGAAATAAAGTAAAAATAACCACAATGTTAAGGACAGAGTAAGTTTTGCAGTTTGTTCAGTGGTTTTAAGCTGACAAGAAGCCCAAACATGATCAGCTAGGTGTGCTAGGTAGTGTACTACTTTTATATTACATTTGAAGAGAGAGTTAATATTTACGCTCTGAAAAAAATTGATGAGGTACAATACTGTCTTAAAATTTTTTGGTTGAGTTTATCTTGTATACGTTAGCACATTGAGTTTTTTCTTCATAGGTCTGTGGAAAGGCATTTACTTACAAACATGGATTAAAAATGCATCTGGCTCTCCATGAAACGCAGAAGCAGTTCAAATGTGACTTATGTGAAAAGTCTTTTGTCACAAAACGGAGTCTTCAGGAACATATGAGCATTCACACAGGTAAAAGAGAGGTCAAGAATACAAGTAGTATGAACCATGGTATATTAATAAATACTCTGGAGAATATAAAAGTTAACTCATTAACTGTGGACTTCTGTAGATAGGATCTAAGAAATTTGTAGAAATGTTTTTATTTTCATTGGACACCCATTCAAGAAAGATTAATTAATTTTAAATTTCTATTTGCACTTTAAGACAGAATATTAAATTTTCAGATTTGTTTTATTATTTATGCCCTAAATATGTTAGGCTCTTCATAGAATAAAACAAGTCCTTGCCTTAAATTCTACATCTCAATATAGAGAGACAGTACCCTTTTTTTATTTATATCTGTAGCATTTGCATATCAAAAATGGGAAGTTTCTGGAAATCCCAGGGAAGAAGATGGAAGAGGCTTTTCACTATTTTTCCTTTTGAGGGAGAAAACTTAAGTTGAATCTCCTGCCTCTTGGATTTCAAGCATCCTCCTAGAATTAATATTTTCTTAAATTTGTTGCATTAAAATAAATTGTAAAACGCTACGATAAATAGCACTAGCTAGCTTTGTATTTGTTTAGGAAGGTATTTTGTTTTTCTTATATTCATCCATTTGATGTGATTCAGTTGCTTAAGTGAAATACTCATTATTTTCTAGCACATCACTCTTGTTGTGATGTACACTAGTTTGCCAAGGGTTCTGTGTGTCAGTCTGAATGTGGCTTTATGCTTATGATCTGGGACTTGTGTGGCTTTTCAGAAAAAGCCATTTTCATTCCACTGGAGTTCTGAGACCTTTGCCCCAATTTAAATGTTTTTTCCAGTCTCAATCCCCAGGGAGCCATCACCTTGCAATAGTCATCTCCTTAACTGAGGTATACTGGACTTGTATAATAATGTATCTTGTGAAATTAATAAGTTCTCAGATATTAGAAACTGGTAGGAAGCTTGAGGGTGAGAAGAGAATGATATATGACAATGTAATAGGTTAGTGTGAACTTTAGGCATTTTAAGGTACTTTGTATATTGAAGTACTGTGAATTTTTATTTCCTGGAGTGTGGTATATCAATAATGGGATACAATAGATTATTTTCCTTGACAATGCAGTTTTATGGTCCAGAAAATAGAAGGATTTCTATGTACAGTAAACTTCTGATAATCCGGCACCTTTAGGACCCAGGGGATGCCAGATTATCAGATATGCCAGACTATTGGAAGGGGGGGGCTATGAGGGGTCTAGGTGGGGTGGCGGAATGCCCCTCCAGACCCTTCATAGCCCCCCCCCCCCTTCTGATAGTCCGGTTCTTCCCCAGGCGTCCCCGATTCAGCTGCTGCTGAAACTGACCAGCAGCAGCTGAATCGGGGACGCCTAGGGCAGAGCAGCTGGGGTGCTGCCAGGTTGGTCCCGTAGCGCCATCCCTCAACCCGGCAGCACCCCAGCTGCTCTGCCCTAGGCGTCCCCGATTCAGCTGCTGCTGAAACTGACCAGCGGCTGATTCCGGGAAGCCTGGGGCAGAGCAACTCCAACTGTCTGGCTGCCTGGAGCACTTCCGGGTTCCTGATGGTGCCAGACCATCAGGAGTGCCGGAGCACTGGATGCCGGACCAATGGAGTTTTACTGTACTCTTACAAATATCCTTTTGGTTGTCTAATATTCAAGATCAGCTTGAAAGGATGTGGAAATTTCATGTTAAGGTGGTCTCTGATAAATTCAGGGTCTGATTTCTCTTCCCACCTCCCCCATTCATGTATGCTAAATTACTACTAAAATTGTTGCAGATGCTGTGCTCTGACTGCAATCTGTTTCTTCAGCAGTAAATTTTTTTTATTTAAAATTGTTGAGAGTTAAAAACAAATTGTTGTGTAAACCTTTTAAAGTAATTTATACAGTAGTTTAAAGTAGTGACTCAGCTTTGTCAAATATGTATAGCAATATTATCCAAGATTATATCTGATGTAAAGAATATTCTTGAAAATACCAACTAGATTCCAAGTGTTAGGGTATATAAAATCAATCTTCCCTCTTATTTCAGTAATAAAGCTCTGAGAACTTCAGATGAATTCTGTACAAATTATATACTCCTTTTAAAACACTGCAGGGAGTTGGGGCTCAAATGGGAGATAAGACCTTCTAAAGTGTTGTTGTTTTGTTTACAGGAGAATCCAAGTATCTTTGCTCCATTTGTGGGAAGTCTTTTCACAGAGCCTCAGGACTTAGTAAGCACATAAAGAAACACCAGCCAAAACCTGAAATTCGTGGATATCAGTGTACTCAGTGAGTATTAAATTGACCTTTTAAGTCCCTTGGATTATTTAAGACAGTTTTACTTGCCTTTCATGTTGTTGTTTGTCACATAAAATGGTTAGAATAATAGGAGCGGGGGGAGGGGAAGAAGGAAGGGGGCGGGGAGACATGGAGCAGAGGGTATGGAAAAATCAAAGGGAAAAACAGGAAGGCAGAGCTGGAAATCAGTAAGCACCTGAAGTCTGCACATCCTAATCTCAAAACTTTGGTCATCTGAAGAAGTGGGCTGTTCCCATGAAAGCTCATGATCCCATCTACATGTTTTGTTAGTCTGTAAAGTGCTACCAGACCATTCATTGTTTTTTCCTGTAGAGACTAACTTGGCTACTCCCTGAAGCTTCAGAATACAATACGTTAAGCACTGCGGTAGAAAATGCACTTGTGCAGTTGGCATAAGGACAAATGCAAAGTACTCCTTTTAGGAAGAAATATTCAATTTGCCGACAAAAGTTACAAGGAGGAGAGAGCAATGAGCTTAAATTGCTGCAAGGACAGTTTAGGTTGGACATAAGGAAAAATTTCAGGGTGATTAAGCATTGAAATACAGTGCATAAAGAGATAGTGGGATCTCCTTTTTTGAAGACTTTTTAAGAGCAGGTTAGACACATGCCTGCGAGGGTGACCTAGATAATACTTAGTCCTGCCATGAGGTCCTGCCATGGCCGGCAGGGAGCTGCTGCAGCCTCCATCAATTGATGGTTAACTGGAACTGGTAACAGTCACCCATTAAGGGTGATACTGGATAATCTTTCACAACCCTAATACACAGGAACCCTTCGGTTACATTGCTAACCTCTAACAATAGAGGTGAACTACTAAAGACACAAGCATTATCTACCAAATGTCCCTAATGGTTGAATTTCGGTCATTTATCCTGCAAGCTGCTTGCTTGACCCTTTTTGGCAATGTGTCATACCCTGTATTTCCTGGGGTTTCAGAAGTTTCCATTTTACTGAGCTCAGTGTTCTGGCAGGACACAAACTATCAGTGGGCAACCATAACTCTGTGTTAGCAGTTCTTTGCCATTTAATTAGCAAGGTTTTTAAACAAAGATGAATGTTACTTAGGAGTTAGTGATTATTTAAATTGTTCTAGTTCTCAGTAGACTTGATATACTGATTGTAGTAAGAAAATAATCTAAAGACCTAGCTTGTATAATAGTGCTTTTCATCAGTTGATTTCAAGTAACTTTTACATCAATATCCCCATTTTATAGAGAGAAAACTGACCCAGAGTGAAGTTACTTACCCATGGCAGAGTAAAAAATAGTCCTAGGCCAGTGGTCTTTCCATTAAGTCTTCTGGTTGCTGTGGGATTTTTCATTGCCAATAATTGGAGTGTGGATAATCATTGTACTTTGTAAAGATGGCGGTGACTAAGAGATATGTGTAATCCCCAAAGCTTGTGTCTCTTGCCAACAGACCATTAGTCCTGTGAAAGATACTACTTCACCCGCCTTGTGTCTGAAGCATCTTCTTGATCATACATTTTCTTGTGGCTGGCTAAACAGGAGCTGGTGAACTTTGGCTTCCTGTGGAACTGTTGGGGGTGGGGGGCAGTTTGGGGTGAGGGATTGCCTAGGGAGTCGCTTTGAAAAGCAGAGCTAGAGGTTGTGTGGAATGTGCTTGGGCAAGCTGAACAACAAAGCAATTTTGGCTGCTTTACTAGTTAATCCTCGATAGTTCCAGAATTTGATTCCAGTTCCTTCATAAGCATAGATCTTGTAGTTTTATAGAACACCACTTTGCGTACCATAATGTGTGATGTCCTAGCTCTCCCTAACTCTTGGTTACTGGAAAAACTTAAAAAACAACAAATAGTCTCTAAGGTGCTGCAAGACTAACAAAGCATGTTGGTATCATGAGCTTTCGTGGACACAAGCCACTTCTTCAGATGGACTCCATTCAAGTGGGTTGTGCCCACGAAAGCGCATACCACCATCTACATGTTTTGTTAGTCTCTAAGGAACTACAAGACTATTAGTTGTTTAAGTTTTTCTAGTTATACTAACTTGGCTACCTCCTGAAGCTCTTTGTTACTGGATAGGAGTTTTTATGCTTTTTTTTTCCTCCTATAATAGAGCAATTAAAGGAAATCAGCTTTCCATAGCAGATAAAGGGAAAATATATGACACTCATAAGAAACATTGCAAATCTTGAAATTAGCTGTTACTCCTATTAATCTTTCTTACTGTAGAAGAGGATTACAATGTTAATACAGTTGTTGATACTGTAAACCCTGTCTACTTCATGAAATCTACCAGTCTTTTAAAATTACTAATATATATTGGGCTTTAGGCAACATGTAAATGATAAAGAACAGTGGTTTTCTGTCATCTAAGTCCAAAGGGTCCTCCTGTTTTAACATTTTACCTTCATAGTTATTTTCATTTCATTATGTTCTTGTCTTATGTGGGAGTCTGAAAATTGTATTGTTTCAGGTGTGAAAAAAGTTTCTATGAAGCTCGGGATCTCCGGCAGCATATGAACAAGCATCTTGGTGTGAAGCCGTTCCAATGTGAGTTCTGTGGGAAGTGTTACAGTTGGAAGAAAGATTGGTATTCTCATGTGAAGTCCCATTCTGTCACAGATCCTTATAGGTGAGTGATAGTTTGCAACTGATGTAAACTGAGCACACTAAGGTGTTGTAGACCCACAACTCGAATTAGACCAGTGTGGATTTGCTTCTGAGTGACATTTCCAAGAGCTATCCATAGTTACAGGTATGTAGCTTTCAGCAACAGATATAAAAGAATAACTTCATATGAGCATCTCAATTAAAGAAAAGGTTCTTGAATATTTAGACCATCAAATTACACTAGAGTAAAGGATAGTTGTGGGAGGGAAAGTTGTGTGTGATCTGTGAGGGGGGGGCTTCAATCTGAGTGACATGCTGGAGCTCCCATGCTGCCAGTCCTAAGATGTCCTTGGAATTTCTAAAACTGGTCAAGGACAACTTCTCAATGCAATAAGTGTAGCTTCTAACATGGGTGGAATTCTGTATTAGATCTCATCTTGACAAATAACGGTACTGATCACAAAACTGAAAGTTCGTGGTTGCTAAGTGATCGTGACTTGATTACATTTGTTGTGTGCAAATACTGTAGAATGAAGTCCAACCCAGTCATATTTACATACAAACACACACATACATACACACTCATTCTGATTTAATTTCTCAAACCTGAAAATGATAATTCAGTGCATTCAGAAAACAGAGTTTTTGTCCCCAAAGCAGCAATTCCGGAGTCCAGAGAAATAGCTGAGTGTGTTTCGAAAAACCTATTGTGCCTTAGTAGGTAAGCGTAAGCAGCCTGTGTGTGCATGCTCTCTCGTAGGAAAGCTAGCTTTCTTTCTGTTATGGGATTGTTGCTTTTTGGACAGAATAACTTTCCCCAGATGATTTGATTTACTGTTTTCAGCTTTGTGAAAATGTCTCTTTTAAAGTACTCTGAGTGCTTGAATTTTATTCTATTTGCATACAACAAATGTAGGGATGTAAGTGACTAGACTTATCAGGTGGGATTTATAGAAAATAGATATGGTCAAAATAACATCCTTTTTTTCCTGATAGGATTAGATTCTAAGGCCAGAGGAGACCACTGTGATCATCTACCTTGACCGCCTGCATAACACAGGCCATAAATTCATGTTTGAACTAAAGCATCTCTTCTTGAAAAAAATCCATTTGTGATTTAGAAATCCACCACAGTCTTTGCCAAATTGTTTCAATTGTTGATAGCCCTAATTGGTAAAAATGAATGCCTTATATCTCATCAGAAATTGCCTAGCTTAAACTTCCAACCGTTGGACCTTTGTTGTTCCTTTCTCTGCTAGATAAGAGCTCGTTATCAAATATTTATTCCCATGTTAAGAACTTGCAGGCTGTGATCAAGTCACCTCTCAACCATCACTGTAAGTTAATAGAGCAAGCTTATCAAGTCTGTGAAAAGGTTAGATCAATAAAGCTATGTTGCCCAGTGCTGTTGAAAAAGTTTGTTGCCTGAGCACAGTAGTTGGGTTGACTTAATCCCCACTGCAGATTCAGCTAGGTAGATTGAAGAATTGTCAACCTAGCTTTCACCTCTTAGATTGATGGAAATTCCCCTTCTGTCAGTGGAGAAGTGTCTGTAGCTGTTCTACTATTGCCCTTGTAGGGTAAACATAGACTGTCGCTTTAAATCAGAGCTACTCAACATGCAGCCTGTGGCCTGTTTGTTTGCGGCCCGCGGTGTGGTTTGAGTTTACGTGAGGCTCAACATGCGGCCTGCGGGTGGGATCCTATGAACATGGCCTCCATTGGGAACACGAACCACAATGGTGAGGCATCTCCCAAGTGGGGTGAGCACTGAAAGATGAAAGCGGACAGACTGGCTGGAACACACGTACAGAGAGGAGGTGCTGGGAGCACTGGAGCATTGTGGGAGTGCTTTGTATTCATGCCCATCAGTGTGAAAGAAGCTATATGCATATATATTTGTATGTATATGCAACCACACTTAAGTTGCAGCCCTCTGCATATGCTGTGAGTATCATTGGGCTTCCCAAGTTGAGAAGGCCTGCTTTAAACCATACTGTCGAATCATTCTCATGGCTCTCCCAATCCCTTTCCAATTTATCAACTTTCTTTTTAAACTGTGGACAACAGAACTGGACATAGTATTCTAGCGGTGGTCACAACAGTGCTAAATCCAGGGGTAAAATAACCTCTTTATTCCTGTGAGTTTTGATTTATGAAGATACTAATGTTGATACAATCTATTTAAACTTTTGTAAGGAATTTGGCACATTGCTGCACAACATTTTGATTAAGAAACTAGAACTATACAAAATTAACATGGCACATTAAATGTGCTAACATTTAAAAATGCAATTGTAAATGGCAAATCATCATTGAGCTGATGTGTTTGCAAACAGAAATTCAGAGAGAGGTAAGTAAAAGGCTGGATCACTGGCCCAGATGGCTCTGACACTATATGTAGTTCCTTTCAATAAATCCAGGGAAAACTGAAGGCTGATAAAGCTCCCCATGGAATGCTTCCAGGAAAAAGTGTGGATATATCACAATTACTGGGCATCATTAGCATACACTTCAGGATTTTGAGTCCCATCTGTTCATGAGTCAACCTTGTTTAGGTTTTATAAAAGATCCAACACGTGGTTAGCAATTTAGTCTTTGTCCATGAGGCCTTTCCTGTGGGTGACAGATTAATAATTGTACTTGGAGGAGTTAGTTACATTAATTGGTTGAATACTTGTATTTCTTAAAACATTTTTTCTATTAACATGCAAATAGCACAGTCTAAGTCACTGAGACCAGAAGCAACTTTATTAGTACAGCAAAGAAATGCTATTCTGTCAAAACATTTCCTTTATATATATATATATATATATATTAACAATGTACAAATAAAACCATTTTACTTAGCCAATACTTCCAAATTCAAATATAATGTAGAAAATGGCATTGGGAGGATTTTATAGGTGAAAGATGTGTGAGGGGAAGATGGGTAATACAGCAAACATAGTTATGTGGGGTACCGTACTTCTGCTAACACTAGAGTTGTAAGAAGTCGTGTAAAATGTAACTGTGTTAGAGCCAAAAATCCTAGTGGTTTCATGCCACTGCAGGTTCTGTAGTGTAACTTTTAAAAGTCATTGCAGGTCATGGAGTGGCAGCTGGCTCCCCTGGAGTGAAGCCCCACTCGGGGGAGCTGGATACCGCGAAGCGGGGTCCCTGCTGGCCCTGATCCCAGGGAACTGGCAGGTAACCATAACTGAAACGGATAAGCTAAGGCTCATATCAGCTAATTGTTTAAACGGTTACACTTTTACATTCCGACTGCACACCTCCACCCATGCCTAAATAGTATGCATCTCAAAGATAACAAAATGAACTATCAGTAGTAATGCATGTGAAACTGAAGGGGGGCTTAAGTATATGTTGGTCAAAGTTAGAAATTTTTGGTTGTTAATCTGCGTGGTTTTGCTTTGGTGGAATGGTGAGTGGAAGCTTGTGTCCATGATTAAGAAAACCTGTGATTGAAGTCTCATGGCACAATATTTTAAAATCTGAAACCTTTTTTCTTACATGGGCGCATCAAAATCTAACACCTTTAAACATAAAAATGGCATTCCTTTAAACTTTCCCTATTTAAAAATTAAAGGGCATTTTAAAACCATAAGATAACGTAGGCATGGGATAACGGCTTGAAGCAAGTTTTCTGTATCTAACAGGTATTCTTTTTATATTTTAGATGTAATGTGTGTGGCAAAGAATTCTATGAGAAAGCTTTGTATAGAAGACATGTAAAGAAAGCCACTCATGGGAAGAAAGGGAGAGCAAAGCAAAATCTGGAACGTGTGTGTGAGCACTGTGGGAGGAAATTCACTCAGCTGCGAGAATATAGACGACACATGAACAATCACGAGGGTACACAGAATATATATTATTTTGTCCTTTCTGTAAAAATATTAGTATTCTAAGAAATAATATGTTTAGGGTCCCCATGAGTGGTGAGCCATCAGGAAACTATGCTAGATTATCTAGTCAATGGAAAGTAGGTTCACATTCATCCTACTTTCCTACAGTCATTGGTTTTGCCCATGAAAGCTCATGATACCATACATGTTTTGTTAGTCTTTAAGGTGCTACTAGTCTATTTGTTGTTTAAGTTTTTCCTGTTACAGACTAACTTGGCTACCGCTCTGAAGCATTCATCCCCCATTGTTTAACATGACTTCCAAAACTTGCCATTAGAATCCTTCTGAATCCTTACAGCACTGGTCATGCAAATTTGTTAGTACAGTAGTTTACAGTAGAGACAGATCTTTAAGCATTTTGGGGACAATAACAGAACAGTTGTAATTAAAAAGTTGCCAGTATATGTAGACCCCTGAGCAGATAACAAAATTTGTATCTGGATCTACATCTATATCCAGAAAAACAGACATCTGCGGATGAGGATACCTGTGAATATAAAATGGATAGCTGCAAATTTGCAGTGTGCTAAATGTATGCATAAGCATTTCATAAGTAAGATTAGCTCCTTACTTTGAATAATTGAATAGTCTATGTACTTCTACATATAAATTGCTATATTATGGCAAAAACTACCTTTTCTTAAACATCTTACCCATAAAGGACTGGTAATAGTAAGTCTAAAATCTCATTCCCTGTGGGGGTAGACATTTACATATTTGCTTATATTAAAAAAAGAAGCCCTTATAATATCCCATAATTGTGTACCATAAATCTGTAGCTGAGTGATATAGGAAGTTAGTGTTGAGATGGATGTACAACAGAATGGGTAAGGAACAATGCAAACAGTGATCATGCCTACACTAAACATAATTTTGATATATGCTGTCTAGAGGAAATAATTTGTGGCCAATATCAAACTAGGGATTTCAGGCACAGTAGAAGATGGACACACAGGTTTGCAGAAATTAACAAAAATCAGTGGAGTAGGATTTGGTGTAATAAGGTGCCAGGCAATACATTTGGAAGAGAAATGGTATCCAACAGAAAGGCAGAATGAGACACATGGATGTATCAGTGATACTGTGTGTGTCAGCACTCCTAAGGCCACACACAGAGTATATAAGTGGCAATATAAAGTTCCAGGGCTTTTTCTGTGCCCTCACAGATCCATGTTAACTAGACATAGTCTGCGTAAGGTGGTTTGAAAAGCACTGTATTAGAATGTTGTCTTTCCTGCACGGAATTTCTCATTTTCATTTACACAGATTTATGAAAAATAATCTTCATTCTCTTATTTTGATAATCAGGTGTTAAGCCTTTTGAATGTCTAACTTGTGGAGTAGCCTGGGCTGATGCACGTTCCTTGAAGCGTCATGTGAGGACACATACTGGAGAACGACCATATGTCTGTCCAGTATGCAATGAAGCTTACATAGATGCCCGGACACTACGGAAGCATATGACCAAGTTCCACAGGGATTATGTACCTTGCAAAATTATGCTTGAAAAGGACACACTTCAGTTTCATAACCAGGGGACACAGGTGGAACATGCCATCAGTATTTTAACAGCAGACATGCAAGAACAAGAAACTGAGATTAGCATTGGCAGTGAAGAGATTGAGACTGTGGTAGTGACTGGAGAAACAATTGAAGCTCTTGCAGCTACTGAGGAATGTACATCAGTATCCACTCTTTCTGACCAAAGCATCATGCAGGTGGTGAATTACGTATTGGCACAACAGCAAGGACAGAAAATAGCTGAAGTTACACAAGCTATTGAAACTGTAAAAGTAGAAGTGGCCCATATTTCAGAAACTGAGTGAATATCCTGACAGAGCAAGAAGGGTGCAGTGTTAAGTACAAGTCAAGCTAAGTACTAACTGTGAGTATTTGAGGCTTACAGTAATACTGACTTTGAGATACTGAATCTCTTATACATTGAGTTTCTTGGTTGCAGAATATCGCACAATGCACTGAGAGAAAAATGTAAAATTTCAGATACTTCAGTGCAGAGTAAGAGTTGGAAGACTGATTTCTGCACCAGTCATAATCAATTAGTACAGAAAGGTCTAAAATAAAATATTTCCTGTGTAACGGCAGTAAGTGTCATGTTGTAAATTTTTATGGACTTTTACAAGGAAGTTGTGCTATAATTGTACAGCTGTTTCAGCAGCATTTTGCCTTTGTTTTAATATGTATATTATCAGGGTCAGTGAATGAAATTCAAGTGATGGGTTCTGTCCTCTTTTCTTTTGCTCCCCAAATCGGGGAATGGACCGCTGTGGAGTGTGTTGCCTTGTGAGGGGTTGCAAACCTGTGGTATGAGATCTTTTGCTTTTAAGTAGACTCGCTAGCTGTGTATAAATCTTCAAAGTGTGCTCCAGGAAATTTGCAAAATTAACTCCTCAGGACTGTGTGGCAGGTCAGTAAATATAATCATTATACAATGACTTGGATAACCATGTAACTATAACCAGATTTACTCAGTGAGGTCTGTTGGAGTTTGGGAAAAAAATCTGTCACTGGTGAGAAGCTACTTGCATAGTTCAACGGGATCAACAGGGCTACTCATATAAGTGTCTGCTCTTCAGTATAAACAAAGGGGTTAAGTCTGACCATGTGTGTGCAATGCTGTTTAATTTATTTTGCTAATTGTTCAGTTGTGTAAACAAAAGCTTTACACTGCTTCGTTGTATTTACCCAAGGCAGGAAAACAAATGATGTAGAACTTTTCTAATTTTGTATTAAATTTGTGGAAATTTCCACATGAAAAAAGATAAGTTGTAATAGGATGCAGTTCTTTGGGAATGAGATACTATAGAAATCATCTGGTTTTCCAATCTACTGAATCACGGAGAATTGTAATTGGGAGAAGGGGTGATATGGTGGGATTTAGTAATTTCAAAGTGAGACAGACAGTAGCATTGAATAATATGAATGTCATAGTATCATGTTAAAAACTAGGTTAGTGACAAACATGCTGGAAATCTCCAAAGGCGTATTACATGACAACTACACGAAAACACATTGAAGGCAGGCTATTAATCCTCCTCTTTGTTGGAAAAAATCTGTTTCTGTAGGTTGTTAAAATAAAATAAAGTGGAAATATTTGCCCTAATTTATTAAAGAAAATCTATGCAATGAAGTTGCTAGCATCTTTTAACCCTAAGTGAATGTATCCCTTGCTTTTGATAGAAGCAGAAGCCCTATCTATTCTCCCAACTCTGCCACAAGCTCTCATACTTGATAAAATCATTGCATTATGGCCATATTGTTCTGTGTGAACTGAAGTCCTGCTAATGTGTATTAAAGAAACATGTATATTTGAAATTATCTTTTGGTAAGATTCAGCTCTAGCTCGAAATGAATTGAACTAAAGCAATAAGTGAGAACCAGTGTCCTCTAATCCAATATGCACAACAGGAGGAAAACAAATTACTTAAGAAAGTACATGAGGATAGCTGAGCCCATTTTAGAGCTAGTATTCTTACATTAATTTCAGCCTGTGTGATGATATAATCTATTCTCATTCTGTAATATGCATTCTGAGAGTGTTTAATTTAAGAACTAAAACACAACATGTAGATGTAGTTTAAGTTCATGTTCTGAAATGACATAGCATAAAATGTTGCACTGCAAAAGTATTTGACGGGGTTAGATCACTGGTTCCTGCTAGATAAACCCAACAAAAATGGTTATATTACAGTTTTCTTGTGCAGTCTTTGAAACTGGCTTGCCTCATACACATTAACAAAATATGGGGCAAAATCCCTGACAAGGCATCTAAATCATTTGAGTTAATATTTTTGTAAATGTATCATCACTTAGTTAAAAGATCTCAATTTAGTAGACTCTAAAACAGACTTTTTGTGTGTTTTGCGTGCATGTAGCTAAGCTACTGTTAAAAATCATTACCTTTTTAAGAGCAATAACTTATGTAATTACATTGAATTTCTGCCTTGAGTCTGAGCTATGCTGTAGGTTTACTGTATTTCTAAGATGTCTTCTGGCAGAACCAGACATGATGACGATGTCATAATATTCACCTACACCTTGCAACCTCTTATAATTGTGCTATTTCCTAAATATTGCAATGGTGTAAAATTGCACAAAGCCTACACTTGAAAAAATACTGCTAGTTGTATTTCCCTAACACTTGTATACTCAAAAATGCCATAGACAAGCACCCTGGAGAGAGTTGTCCATCATAATATAAATGAAAAACTGAGGTAAGTGTAACAGTTCTTATAGCCATTATAAGGTGAAATGATTTTAATAGGTAAATTTTCAGTACTAGTAATTTATGCATAAGTATATATTGGTAATGTTGTGAGGAAACATGTTCCAGACACCTATTTGTAAATACTGTTTAGAACATCAATTTTATATTCAGCGTGCTACCTTACAACACAATATTTGTTAGCACTTTAATTCTTGAATAACTGTATTTATCCATCTCGCTGGAGACAAAGGAGTCTGAATTTAGAAGGGGGGAAAAAAGGATAATGCTTTTTGTAAGAACAAAAGTGTTTTAATTGGCTTTATGACCTGCCACTCAATAAAATTACAAAGAAGGTTGTAACAAACAAAAAATCAAGCTAGGAATATTAAAGTTAGAGGCTATGGTACCTTTTCCTTAACATGTACAGTTGTGCCTTAATTTTTTTCAGAATGGCATATGGTAAATAGAGTATCATTTAGACTTGCAGTTCCTGGATTTGTGAGGTTGCCTGTATTTTTTTTTTAAATAACCCCTTAAATTACTCGTTTTGAGAGGTTACTAAGTTACCACAATTTGTGAAGTCAGGCCATAAACATGAGCATTTAAGATTGCTGAAGCTAGATTTTTTGTTTATAAAAACTTGAGAGAAACTCAGTCAATGTCTGAGGTATTCTTGAACATAGTAAATTCAATATCTTTGGTTTGTACATTGTTGTTTTGTATGGTATTAGATGTATAAAGTTATTTCTGTCATTAAATAAACTGATCTTTGCCATTAATACTTTTAAGCAACTTTCTTTTCAGAAAGAGGGAATTCCTGAATCATGTTTAATTGCAAACTACTGAAGGGACTCAGTTACTGGATTGCAGTGAACAGCTCCAGTTGTACAGTGGATGATTTTGGATGACCAGATGAACTCCTTCTAGGAGTTAGATGTGAATAAAATGAATTATAGCAATTTCACACATTTTTATTAAAGTCTCATGAAACCTTGAGGTCACTAGCTTTTTACTATGATGTGCTGGTTCCTTTCAAATGAAAGGAGAGTAGGGGAACTGCTTTATATTCAAAACCTGAATCCAGTTCCCCAGCACTCATGGCAGGCCAAGCGCCATCTAAATGATCCCTGACAGGTCTTTATTTAACCTGCTCTTAATTTTCAGTGATGAAGGTTGTACAAGCCCCCTAGACTATTTATTCCTGTGCTTAACCTTCCTGACAGGAAGTTTTTCCTAATTCCCAGGCTTTCTGCTATATAATTTGAGGTAGGACTCTACTGCCTGTTCTGTCTCACCCAATTGACTTAGTTCAGTTTCTAATATGTTGAGATGTATTCAGTGCGCTTCACACTAAAATGTTCAATATGTTGCAAATTTTTGTTTTGACCGGTAACTGAAACTCTAGTTCCCCAGAAAAGACACAGTAAGGGCAGTGAATTTTCCTATCAGCAAGCACTCAGGGATTTGGTTGTGAGGAGGAGAGTAGCAATTTTTAGACAGCAGTAGAAATTACTTCTGATTTGGAATAGGCAGGGAGTGAGCAATAGTAAATGGGGGTTTGAATCTTTTGTGCCCTAGCCTGCTAAATGTTAAAGCCAATTAGCTACACACTATCTCATCCCTCTGTACCAGTATGTTCAACAATTGTGAATAATAGTATCCTTTTGTTAAAATTGACACTTCAGTAAGATCCACTATTCCCTTAACTTTTTTCTATGTATGCGAGGAATAAATGGATGGCTGTGCACCCCTGGTAGAAATATGTTGCTGGCTGTGACTCTCCTGGGTGGCTGCCAGAGCACTCATTTACAGAAAACACAGGTGAGATTCAATTTTTCACTTGCAGTATTTGTTTTCCTGCACTCTGACACTGCTGCATCAGTTTATGCCATTCATATTTTGCTAATCTTTGCATTCAGCATTGCAATAGACTTGTTCTTTCATGTTTTGCCCATTAACATACTGCAGTAGTGTTTAGAAATCAATGCATAATTTTAGTTAACAGATTATGGAATTACACATTACGTCAGTCCACCATAGTTGCTAGTTTTACAATTACCTTAGACTTTTTCCATAGTGGAATTAACCATGTGGATATTAAGTTCCTATTCAAGACTTGTTCTGCCCAAAAGATAGAGGCTTTTTTGCAAAATCCTCTTTTCCCTTATCAATTTAGCTGCTTATTTCATAAGCAAATCCACCCAAAATAAATTTTAAAAACTATATGAAGGCCAATCTTTGCCTACAGCTAGCCCCCTAACTTGAAACATTCTTTCCTGTAACCATTCAACACATCTATCATAATCAAGCCTGCACTCTACCCACCCATCTACAATAGTGATTTCATCAGTGGCCCCAACCACATCAATGGCTCATTAACAGAATACCCACGTATATTGGCCAAACTGGACAGTCTCTATGGGAAAGAATTAATAGACACATGCATCATGGGGTAACCCATCTGCAGAATTTAGGCAGGAGAATAGAGTTCTTCATTCATGGTTGGCTAACTACTGTGTGAGGAAATTTGCTAGAGGAGGGACTCTCAACAGGGAGTCTTCCTAGGAAGGCAGTACAAACCAGGCCAAATTTGAGTGAAAGTGGCATTGCAATTTGACACTACTTTAAACAGATAGGTCAGGCTTAAAAAAAAAAACCCCTAGGTGGTATAACTCAAAAGTTGAACCCCTGCATTAGATACTTTTGTTCCTAGTTGGAGAAGGGTTATAACTACCAAATTATGGTCCATTTTGGTACAAAGTCATAACACTTTAAAAATCTTAATGTCAGTCCTGTGGCAACTTAAAGGTTAACAAGTTTATTTGGGTATAAGCTTCCATGGGCTGGATGCATACATCTGACAGAGTCCAGGCCATGAAAGTTAATGCCCAAATACATCTGTTAGTCTTTTAGGTGCTACTGCACTCTAATCTCACTGTTTCCCTTCTGGTGGATATCAACATCTTTCTGAATCTGAGAGAGGCTTTGTGGATTGCTTGAAGAGGAAAAATTTTAGCCAAGTGCCTCTGGTATGTTATCAAGATGCACCTCATCACTTTCTCTCTTTGGAGTGACTGAAATAGGAACAGCTAGTATGTCCATGAAAGAGCTCCATTCTCTCCACATTTAGTTTAAGGGAAGATCACCTGTTGTACCCAACATGATGTTACTAACCAACCAATTTTCCTTTAATAAAATTTTGCATTGGACTCTGCTTATCTGCTATATTTCAACACGGATCTCTTACCTAACAAAACAAGTGTTTAACTTTTGACCCTTTTCTGGAGTGAGATTGTATAATCTCCATAGAAGATTTGTTAAGTGACAATTCAAGCTCCAGTAGGAGGATGAAACTCTATAATTAAGTCCAGACTTCCAACTAAGTTAGCATAACATCAGTTTTCTTTAGGATGGAAGCTAAGATATTACACAAGCGGAGGAAGCTATTTGGCAGAAAAGATGGGATTCAGTACTAGAGGTGGTATATTCACTAGTAACCCTTTTATTGAAGGGTTGTCCCTCAAGTCAGCTGACTCCAATGAAAATCTGCAGGCTAGGGCCAGCCTATTTTCTTTAAATGTTTTTAGTTCTTGCAAAGCCTACCCTTCTATTCTATGCTAGTTTTCTGTTTAACAAATTTTACCATCATCTCATTAATTCTAATGTTCTAAAATGTACTATGTTTGTGATCATAACCCTGTTGATTTTTGGGGACAACTGCACCCTCAAGCTCTAAATGGGGAACAAATGGAGATCACATGTCACCTGCTGATAGCACCTATTAACACTGTGCAAGATATTGATACTAAGGATGTTCAATTTCAATTAGTCAAGGGAGGGGCACTCATACCATTGCACCGCTCCCTTAGCAATGTATGAGAGGTGGGGGTAGCTCTTGTATGTTTCAAAGAGCCGCAGTATGAACTCCCCTGCCCCTCATGGAGACAGCTCTGGGGGCAACTGGCTTCTGCTCTCCCCCTCTTGCTACCTCTCTGATAGTCAGCAAGGGGGGGAGGGAGAGAGAAGCAACTGATCAAGTGACTACTCGACTGGACTATCCAGTAAGTTTCTGCTTATGGGGTAGTCAACTAGTGGATACCTTAAATCAAAGAAGAAAAAACTATTTTCTTGCTGGGAGTGGAGGAGCAAAAAGATTGTTTCCTTCCTGTCTAATGTCCTACTTCCTCAAATTCTGGTCTAGCTGGGGAAAGATAGGGCACTAGCCATCCAACCTTTCAAATTAGAGCTCGAGGGCAGAAAGGCACTGTGGGGCAGGCAAATGAAACAGAGTGAATGAAACAGACAGAAGGCACATGGTGGGAAGAAGCTTCTGCCAGGAAGAAGAGGGGAATAGAGGGATGCAACAAAATCCTGATGTGTGCAATAAGCAGAAGCTATGAAGTGCACACCCCCTTGTTTATGTACAGTCTTTGTATACAAAGGATTGTACCAAAAAGCTGACTCCATTTTCTCCTAACAGGCACCACACAAAGACCCCCAACTACTGGCTAATCAGTTAGGTCAAGTAGCAATTCTACATACATTTCCATTGCTTTAGCAGGGGCATTACTTTAGACAAGTGTAACTGCATTAAAGGATAAAGTAGGTGGGTTTAATTAGTGTCCCACTCAGTCTCCATTATAGTCAACAAGCATTTGTCACTAGCTTCAATGAGGGGTATGAGACAGGAGTAGTTTAGAAGCACAGGTTTGGGTGGGGTTTTTTTGTTTGAAGTCTTTACATTCAGCCTTCAAAGAGTTTTATAAAACAATTTGCTATGAAAAAAGTATATTTTATGTTACATTTATAACAAAGCTTTTAAAGAAAATAGATACATGTATTCAATTGCATAAGACTTCAAATGAAAAGACTACACAATACAAAAATTTTAGAACTTACAAACTCAAGAGTCCAAGTAATCAGTGCTTTTCTAATCCTATAAAAATGCACTTTCGTCTCTCCTCCACTTATACTCAACTTAACATATGGAAAGAAATTAAGGGGAGGAGGAAGCAGTTAAGATGGATTCTGTTCATGAATATTCAAGAACAAGTACGTTTTACAAGCAATTGCAAAGTTGAAGGATGACTGTACTAGCAGACAGTATCAGGTACCTCGGGCTCTAAAAACACATGTAGTTAGATTTTTTTTTAAACACAGACTCAATGTTTTAAATCTAAATGAAAATAGCTTAACAGAATTTAGACAGCCCTCAGGGTTTGAAATCCTAACAGAGCACAGTACTACTAGTGAGAGATCCTAAAAATGAAGCTCACCCATGACTGTCATTGTTCAAACCAGGTGCAAAAATTAACAGCCTACTGAAAGTTTAAGAACTGTTAAAGATACTAGTAATTCAGTAACAAATATCTTAAATCTGATACTATCCTTTGAAGCCACAAACCTATTTTAGCATCTAGAAGAGTGTTTAACGGAAGGGCTTCTTACTGCATAAAAGTACAAAAACAAAGTTATTGAATTTTTTGGTGTGGCTTTTATTCCCTTTGGGCATAAGGAAGCTATTTAATCCAAATAAGTTACATATGTTTTTGGTGGTGGCGGCTTTTCTATATTGATAATTGCTTTAGTAGCTACTTATCTAATTCAGAAGGAAATGCTAACAAGCACTATTTATACTACTAACTGAGGAGCACACTGAAACTACTGATTTACCTTTGTAGTGAATATTCTTTAGAGACTGGACCTAGTATACTGCTAAGATGCCTTCCTTAGGATGAACTAGACCACAGAGACTATTACACACTTTACATAAGGTTTCAAAGGAAGATTAGAGCTAATGCCGCTACCATGGCTAGTCAGAGCAACACCATCCCTAGGTTGTGAAGAACAAAAAGTGACTGGGAGGAATTAAGATTTCTACTCTGTCTAAATTTATGCTCAAATTAATACCCCAGTAATACTTCTAGCACAAGGCACTGCTCCCTCTCTAACAGCGATCTTAGGATCCACATATTTATCTGATGAAAGAGGGAGCTAGAAGCCAGAGTGCAGTAGCATCCAACAACAATCTTAAAGAGACAGTAACCTTTTTTGTCCATCTTACCATATTAGTTGCTATGACCCACAAAAAATTTAAAAAGTACCACTTCCAATTTCTTTATTTGTAACCTTTTGAAACTAATCACATAACTACAAAATTAGCAAATGCCTTGAAATCTGTATACAAAACATAAATTACCTCTAATTTCAAACTCAGTTATTGTACCACTCATTCCTTAGAAAAAGTGGTTCCAAATGTAAATCTCAGACCATTCTTAAAAAAAGGAAACTGTTCCTTTAATGTCACACCCTGCCCTCCCCCCTCCACCAATATATCAACAGATATTTAGTCATCCTCCTCAGGGACATTTCCAAGATGAGATTTTATGTTCCGTTCCCATAGCTTCTGGTTATCAGAAAATCCATGTTTTCCTTTGTTGAAAGAATTTGGTCCTGCTGAGGTTGGTGTATCTCTGAAAAAAAGTGAGATGTGGAAATTAGTTTAATAGTTGGGAGAACTGGATATGTGATTCAGGCATTTCAGCTTCACTTTGCTGTTTCACAGCCAGCTTTTCAGGAGTGACCAAAAATTACAACTGTTGATAAGTCTTTTCGGGGGCTTCTTAAGTGAAATGAGTTTAGTTCCCTCAGTTGGTGTCCAGTGAACAGGTGTCTGTCAAGTCACCACAAGTAGCAGTGTTATCAGCTGTCCCCAGAACTTATCCCTCCAAAATCAGCCTGAGACTCATGGCAGAGAAAAGAGGGGGACAACACATGAGAGGCAAGCTGCACTGTTGCTGCCTGTGAAATACCAGCTCTATGGATTAAAAAAAACAAAAAACCACAGGATGGGCCTGTCAATTTCGCATCTTTCAATAGTAAGCTTCCAGAAAGGAATTTTTAAAAAATAAAATGTTAAATGACTTAGGTCGTGAGGCCCAAACTCAGCCCTCATCTGTGGGTGCAATGACTTTCAAGATGTCCTGCTTACATCAGAGCCTAATTTGGCCCTGACTGACTCTGAACGATGCAGTAAATACAGAAAAATACATATAGGTATAAAGAATGTAACCTATACTCAAATTATTATCTGTAAGAGTTAAATCCCCATAAGGAGAGTGTGTTACGGTGGAGTCATACCAAACTAATTCTTATGAGGTTAAATCCTTAAAACACCTTCAGGTTCAACCCAAGCCCCTTTTTCCATATGTAGAGGGAGTTCAAGTTCTGAACAGACTACCCTAGTCTGGGAATATTTATACTGTGAAGGGTAAAACCAGACTGGGGCTAGGAAAAATCTGAGTTAAATAGTTAGACAAAAAAACGAGGAAGAACAGATGTAATTTGCTTCTTGTTTTAGTAACAACCCAGATTTCAAATTAGCTGCATCCAAATTTCTATCCTGTGGGAGGAAGAGGTAGGATCTCTCTCATTTCATTCTAGCAAACCTAAGATGGTATTTAAATGGGTGCATACCTGCAGGCCAGCATTTAGCCACAAGTGAAACATAAAAGGAATTCAAGTTTACACTGTCTCATTTCTGCAGAAACTGACACTACAGCTACACTAATTTGTTCGCCCTCCATACATTTCTGAACCATATGTAGGACTATCCTTCCCCACACAATCAACTCGTCTCCCACCTTCTTTGGAAAAATGAGGTTAAAGCTGATCTACCTTCCAATATTCTTCATGCGCATCTTTGCTTCTGGAGGCATTTCTTCTGGTTCACTCTAGTTACAAAAAGAGCATGAATGTTAGGGCATATTTTCAATTTTTATTCTTCAATGTTGAACATTCAGAAGCCTAGCATGAAACGGAGCTAACTACCCATCAGAAAAATGTGTTAAAACACAGTGGCTCTAGTCTGTAAAGTCATGAACAGCAATGAAGGAGGTTGCCTCTGATAAGTTGATTCATACTATGAAGGACGCTTATTCATATCCAATAAGATGCCAAATATGCAGTACAACTCTTATCAACAGCTACATTTTGTTAGTTATCACCTTTCACCATTTGTCCCCAGAGCAAATATGCCCATTAAATTAGCATATGTTATATCACCACCATGTAAACACCTGAAAGTGCTCTCATGACCATTTAACATTCTGTAATCATAGGGTCCAAGAAGTGGCAATGACACTCAAACATCAGGAAAATCTTAGAAGAGGAATAACACTGATGTCACCCTTAAAAGATTTCTTTCCTGCATCTCCTCTTCTATCCACCTATCAATTTTCTTTTCCTATGTACATGGATCAGCTGTGTGGCAGCTGCCCCTTTGAAACTGCCACCTCCACACATTTCAAAGGGGCAGTGGGACACAGAGTCAACTGGGGAGTCCCCAGCTGATCCCGGGCTCACCACAGCACTTCCCCCGAACCCGGGGTCAGCTGGGGAGTCCACATGGCACTCCCCTGGAACCTGGGCTCCATAGCAGCTGCCCCTTTGAAAAGCGCGGACTCCCCAGCTGACCCTGCATTCCAGGAGTAGTGCCACAGGGAGCCTGGAATCAGCTGGGGAGTTCCCAATTGATCCCTGGCTCCATTGCAGCTGCCCCTTTGAATCGCACAGAGGCTGCATTTTAAAGAAGCAGCGACTGCACAGCAGATCCACCTATCAGCTGTGCAGCGCTGCCTTGGGGTTTCAAAGTAATGCTTATCGGATTGTTGACTAGTCTTTAACATCCCTAAAACAGATAATATAGCATTTCACAAGAAAGAGGGCCAGATGGGAAATGGACTGACAACTGAAAAGCACTTTTGCAATATGTGCATAAGTGATCCACTCCATTAGGGATGTAAGCAACTAGCCGACTATCCAATAAGCAAATGCTTATCTGACAGTCAAGTAGTGACTAAGGATTTTAAGGACTAGTCAACTATCTAACTTCCCTTCCGTGTTTCAAAGAGGCAGCTCTGCACAGCTGAGCCTAGGCGCAGCTGTGTGGCGTTGCTCATTTGAAACTCCAAGGTGGCATTTCAAAATGACCCTTTGGAGCCCAGGATCAGCTGGGAATCCCCAGCTGACCGCAGGTTCTGGGGGAAATACCACATGGAACCTGGGGTCAGCTGGGGAGTCCCCTGTTGACCCCAGCTCCGTGTGGCATTTCAAATTGGCAGCGCAGCATGGAGCCCTGGGGTCAGTGGAGGACTTTGAAATGTCACACGGAGTCCCTGCTGGGGACTCTTGTACATTTCAAAGCTGCCACCCACATGCAGCCCAGAGTTAGTCTGGACTGCACAAGGAGTTCCGCATTCCTCCTTTGAAATGTACAAGAGTCCCCAGTGGAGGCTCTTGTTCATTTCAAAGGAGGAATGCAGAAGTGCCTATCAACTAGTCAATTAACCAATATTTAACATCTTTAGTAGAGACTTGACTAGTTGCTTCCCCCACCCTCCCTTGCTGCCTATCAGATAATCACATTTTAAAACCCTTACCCTGTGTTGTTCATTCACAGCTTCTGGCAAACAGAGGCTAGGGGGCACCATACCTGCCCATCCCAGCTAACAGCCACTGACAGAGCTATTCTCCATGAACTCATCTAGTTCTCTTTAGAAATCCTGTTCTAGTCTTGGCCTTCACAACAGCTACCATGTGTTGTGAAAAAAATACTTCCTTTAGATTGTTTTAAACCTGCTGCTTATCAATTTCATTTGGTGAGCCTTAGTTCTTGTTATATATTCCTTATTATAACATACTTCCTTATTTTCTTTCTTCACACTAATCAGATCTCCGCTACGACTCCTCTTTTCCAAGCTTAAAAGTTTTAGTCTTATAAATACTCCTTCACATCCCTAATCCTTTTTGTTGCCCTCTTCTGAACGCTTTCCAATTCAAATGCATATTTTTTGAGGATTCCACATCTGCATGCAGTATTTAAGATGTGGGCATGCCATGGATTTAGAGGGGGCAAAAAAGATGTTTTCTGTCTTTAACTTTATTCTTTTATTAACACTTCCAAACACTGTTTGCTTTTTTGAGTGCTGCTTCATACTGGTGGATGTTTCCAGAGAATTTCCCACAATGACACCAAGATCTCTTTAAGTGGTAACAGAACTACTAACTGTTGTTAGTAACCTATCATTTACATCAGCTTCTGTACTAACTCACTGGAAAATAAATAGATACCAGTTTTTATAAAAAGCAGCATTGAGTCTTTGAACTGGTTTCCTGCAGGTCATTTTGAAGATCTGGGCTCAAATTCCGTAAGTGAAAATGACATTACTAGCCTCTTTTTCTAGTGAAATTTTATTAACATTTCTAGTCATCACACATACTGACCTGTCAGTTAACTGACCATTTATTTTTATATCTAAGCTCTGCAATTAGTGTAAAGTATGGGTGCTTAGTAGCTGTGACAAAGCCTTGAACGAATGTGGCTTAACTGGAAAGAACAGTTCTGGAAGGTAACTTCTAAAAGAAGTCTTTGAAAAAAAAAAAAAGACCATAATTATCAGGAATGGCGCTAACTGGAATTATCAGAACCCTAATGATCAAGAATAGCTTAAAGCAGTGGCTGAAGTCATATAGGTTCTGATCATTAAAAGGATAAACTCTTAAGTTCATTGCTAGTACCTGCTGTCCAGTGTTGGAGCCAGCCACTGTAAGTTTGAGCACCCCAGGTATAGTCCTGTTGTAAGCATCTGACCAGTGCTTATAACTGTGCATTACTATCTGGGTGCGATGATTGTTTAAGCATTTAAGGCACATTTGGAAGAGTCCCTATAAGTATCATTCAACCTTTAGATTTAATAAAGAAATTTATGGTTGAATTGGTTTTGTTTTTGTTATTACTATTAAATAATGAAATAATAAATTCCAACCATCTGTTTAAGGGAAACACTGGATCAGTTCTAAACTGTAGTACATTGGCCTTTTTTGTGGAGAAGTTTACAGAGTACTTTACTCATACTGCTCAACTTCCCTCTTTAGTGAATGAAGCCATCATGTGGCATTTACTTACATCATCATCTTCATTGAACACTGCTGCTACAGAAAGTGTTTTTGGAGCAAGGGTAGGAGCAGGCTCTTTAGGTTTCTAAAAGAGATAGAAAATACACCAAATAAAATCAGACAAGTCTGTTTACTTGACTAGCATCCATTTAACCTTTCAAAAGACTTTTAAAAATGGAATTCATTAATGATCTTCACTGAAACTGAAGTAATTTTTAAACACATTCATACATTGATTTCTAACTGGATAAGCTAAAAGTCAAGACAATTCTTTAAATCTGGCAGAAAGCAGTTTTCTAATAGAAGATTCAAGGGAGCATAGTTTTTTGCAAACATAATGCAATAATGCACCTAGACACTCATGCACAAAATGGGAAATTAAATCCATGTTTCAGCAGTTTATGGCAACTACAGGCAGTCCCCGAGTTACGCGGATCCGACTTATGTCGGATCCGCACGTACGAACGGGGCTCTCTCGCCCCGGAGCTCGCAGGCAGCGGGACCCCCCAGAGCACAGCGGTCCCGCCACCTCAACCTCCGGGGCGAGAAATGCTGCTCCAGGTTCCGCTGGTCTGCTGGGGACCGTCTCCAGCAGACCAGGGACACCTGGAGCAAAGCCGGGGAGGAGGAGGGGTCCCGCGCGCGCCTCTGAGGCTTTGCTCTGGCAAAGCCTCAGAGGTGCGGCACCCCGCCGCCGCTGCGGCTTTACTCCCCGTGTCCCTGGTCTGCCT